TTAATCATGTTTAAAATGTAGTTAAACGGAAAAAAATTAACAAAAAAATTTAACTGCACTTTAATAAATTTTATTCATAATAAAATTGTACTTGCATTTTTATGCATTATAAGAACATTTTATTTTGATAATAGTGTTGGGCAGATCACATGTGGGGACTTTCGATATATAAATTCAAGAAACTACATAAAGAGGTATATTTATGTCATATCGAAGAATGGTTTATTAATTTATTGCTTTATTGTCACATTTAACTTAATACTATTTCAATCTTCAGTTTAATTTAATGCATTACTTGCCATTTATTTGTAATTATTTGTGAAATTTACTAACAATTTCTCAGTTAAAACGTTACACACCATTTTTTATAGTGTAAATATTGTTATGTGATAGTTATGTTATAGTGTAAAGAGGCACAATAAATAAGCAGCTCTGTAATACAGTTTTCATGAACTCACCTCATTGCATGCCATGCTAACACTCAACATCCAATCAATAACTGATGCTGTAATCACTACTATATAACCAATCAGCCATTTGTTCATACGAAACTCCTCCCATCCTATCAGATAACTCGTCTGTTCTTCAAATGAAGGCAAGTAAATTATGAGTTTTCATATATGGGTTAACTATGCCTTTAAGTGTATGAAGGACTGTAAGTGCTAATTAAAAATAAAATAAAGAAATCAATTATCAATGTATCGATTCAAAAATAAAAATAACAACAGGTTGACATATATACTGTATATATATATATATATATATATTTTTTTTTTTTTTTTTTTTGTTTTCATGAACTCACCTCATTGCATGCCATGCTAACACTCAACATCCAATCAATAACTGATGCTGTAATCACTACTATATAACCAATCAGCCATTTGTTCATACGAAACTCCTCCCATCCTATCAGATAACTCTGCAAAACAAACAATATATCCAATATGTTCCTTAATATCATATTAAGCAACTTAAACATTACAAAACAAATGGTCAGATAGGTCAGTTTAACTGTTAAAGGGATAGTTCACCAAAAATGGAAAAGAGCAGCTTGGACATTGTATTCCACAAAAGAAAGAAAGTCATACAGGTTTGAATGACAAATAATGACAGTAATTTTGGGTGAACTATCCATTGAATGCTATCCCAACAGTCAACTGAATATATTTCTAGATTCCTACCTTCACAGTGAAATCTAGGATGAAGATACAAAGGCAGACCACCTCAATCCCCTCCGTCAGTCCACAGGGTGGCTCCCAGGGCTTGGGTTTGAAACGAATGTCCGAGGTGTAGGTCAGAGAGGAGGGTGTCTCAATGAAGGCTAGGGCCAGTACAACAGCAATAGTGAACCCCAGACCCCTTCAAGAAAGAGAGTGTGGGAAAGCAGATCCAATAACAAATCTGATATTGACAGAGAGAAACATACCACATAAGCAGCTAAAGGCTATAGGTCAATATAATTACAGGAATGTTGTCTGTCCAATGCAATACAATATGTGTCATGCTGTCGAGAAAATAACTGTCACAATACATGTGACGTGTGTCTTGTCATGACCACATGTCAACAAGTCAGTAAACACAGTAACTTCTGCATGATACACACACACACATACACAGGGTTTTAAATCAACTTTTTCACTCACTAGGCAAATTAAGTTATTGGCAATTTAGAACTTCTAATATCCAAAACAAATATATTGCACATAAACTGGATTATCAAAATCTCTGTGACAGCATTTAATTTCCAAATACAGCTTACTCCAAAATCAATGTTTAATGTTAAACACACTGAAGATTAGCGGACAGGATGTCATTTCAAAAACTGATCAAATGTTTCCTCACAAAAGTCAGCGTACTGAGAATCAAAGCCTTTCTTCCATTGATCTCCATAAAAAAATGCCAACCTGTTTTCACTCCCAAGGCATCTGTAAATGATTTAATGAATGTAAAATTTGTATCAGTATATTGATGACAAATGTTTTTTTTTTAATTAAACCATTACGGCGCATTGCAAAAAACACGCTTTGGTGTTTATATAATGACACACAAAAGTCTTGGACATGTGGCATTTATCGGACCCCTAGGAAGTGAGAGCGGGTTGAAAAAGTGGCCTCATGTCTCCAAGTGCTCCGTAAGACAGTAAACTGGTCACACAAATGGCTAATGGAAAGAAACAGGTTGCTCTGATATAATTCTCTATATGAAGACATTACTCAAGCCAAAAAAAAACAAACATACTTATTACTGAAAAATGCACAATACATCTACCAGACTAGGGTGAAATCAGTATGTACATATATTTCTCCCAAACTGTTGTTAATGTAATTCAATGGGAAACTATGTGAGTGGCTCACTGTGTCCTGACAGGATGTTTGTCTCGTCCAATGTGCAACCCTCTTTTCACTTTGTTTTGGTAATGTTGGAGGCTGCTTTTATGGGAAGCGCTCTGATAATGATGGCATGTAAAATGATAAATTTATAAATCACATCCCACCAAATTGACTAGAGAGTTGATATGTGTTATACCCAGCATGGGTGATTTCTAACCCTGCAAGGATCCCAGAAAGGGACATGATGTAACTGTAAGTACTGTTTACATTTCAACCACAGGAACTATTCTGGTAATGCATAATTACTGTAGCAGTTCTTCTGCCTAGAACAGTAATCACACCACACAAGGATGACATGGACAACTTAACAGCTCCAAAAACAAACGTTTTTGTAAGGAAAAATGTATACAAGCACTGTAACAAATATTCAAGGAATACTTCTGCTTGTAAACCCTCTAGAATGTGCATTTTATTTGATTTTACAAATTAAGAGACAAGTCTAACCTTTCTGTGGTAACTGACAACATGTCTGATCCAATCCAACAACAAGATTCTGTGAATAAAGCTTAAAAAACTATATGAAATGGCTTTGTAATTTTAGTTTTCTTTTCGGTGTTAACATATTTCCACTAGGTATAGGAAGATGAGGTAGGATGAGTTAGAATATTAAAGGGAAAATGACCTTTTCTTCCTTACTGTGACATATATCCAAGTAAAGAGGCTTCTTGAATGACAAAAATGTAGGAGTGAGACTTGATGTTGTTCATTGGAATTGACTGGTTCATTTGTCATCATTCATTTTTATTTGTTTTTCCAGAAAAAAAATGTGTGTGTGTATATACATTTGCACTTATATATTGTTGCTCTTTTGTTAGTTTTGACTGCTTATGTTACCAAATAAAAACGTTTTCTAAATATGCCAAAATCACAGACTAAAACATAAACTTGTCCGCTTAACATTCAGATTACCTTGACAATGTTAGAATTTTGTATTTTGAGTTTTTATAACAAGTATGGACAAGATTTTCACACATGCACCCAAAACACCTTTAGTTGCCCCACATTTCTGCTAAAATAGTGAAACATATTATTTGGCAAGTATTAAATTAACTTTAAACAATACAAATACATTTTCGGTATGTCTAACTATCTCCACTTGTAATTTGATACATCATGCAAGAAAACCTTAGAGTTCATTTGCGTCATGAGCTGCAAACGGATTGAGCAAGCGTGAGAATTTACTGGCGACACTCTTTAATGAATTAATGAATCTCCCTGAAATAAACTATTTTCTTCTCATTTATACGTAGGCCTATATAAAACTTCTGTGCGCGCGCGTGTATGATATTGTACTAACGTCAGTGTGTGTGTTCAGAACTTCAGACCGTTTCACACATACGAAGAGGAAGTCAATTCTCTAACACCCAACTCGTCCACATCCGCCCTCTCGTGCTTTCTGCCTTGAGACAGCTTTCAAGTACCTTTCCAAATTTTAAATCTCTTCCAAATAATTGTATGCCATATATCGAATAAAATATGAAAATCGCACTTTTATTTATTTATTTTTTAATTGGTCATCTAATAGCCTATTTGTCCTCAATATCGCATTTTTATGCCTTGAGACAGCTTTCAAGTACCTTTCGAAATTTAAAATCTCTTCCAAATAATAGTATGCCATATATCGAATAAAATATGAAAATCGCACTTTTATTTATTTATTTTTTAATTGGTCATCTAATAGCCTATTTGTCCTCAATATCGCATTCTATCCTGTTAGTCTTTTGAAAGTATTATCTAAACCAGGGCTGTCCAAACTCGGTCCTGGAGGGCCGGTGTCCTGCAGAGTTTAGCTCCAACTTGCCTCAACACACCTGACTGGAAGTTTCTATGCCTAGTAAGAGCTTTATTAGCTGGTTCAGGTGTGTTTAATTAGGGTTGGAGCTAAACTGGAGCTAATACACCGGTCCTCCAGAACCGAGTTTGGACAGCCCTGATCTAAACAAAAAGCCACTTCCAAAATCATTCTCCAGGAAGTGACATGTTTGGCGGGAAAACCATAACCAGCAGCTTTGCAATAAGACTGACAACAGTACACTGTAAAAAAATGACCGTGAATTTAACGGTAAAAGACTGTAAAAATGCTACAGTAAAAACCTGTTAAATGGTTAATGGTAAATTCCTCTGCTATATACGGTGAAAAACTGTATTGGACATTACATGTATTGGACATAAATTTTAGGTAGTATACCGTTTTTGGAAGTGAAAAAGACCGTATAATTTACAGTGAAAAACCAGTTGCCGTGCATGTGCAGTTACACAGAGAGAGTGTAGAGAACTGCTGAGCATCTAATATCACATCAGTGGCCGAGACGAATCTTTGGACCAAGGATCAATGGCTTCTGATAACAGCTGTGCTTACACCTTCCATATTACTCCATCATAGCCACCTATACAACATAAAACAGAATGGATTTCACACAAATAGAAAAACTACATACAGACATGATCTTCAGACAAACATTTACATTGTTCCTTCTCCTTAGAGAAATTTGTAGTATAAATTTTGCACCAGTTGTTACCAAAGGATTAGCTGTATTTTTAAAGCAGCTAGTTATTGATCACCATAACTTGTTTAAGACTCTATATCCAAACAAATCACTAATACCAAAGCATCATTTTATGACTCATTACTGGCGAATGATGATCAAATTTGGCCCACTGTCTAAATTTTGGTGCATGAGATTTGAGGGAAAGCATGGTCCTCTAAAAAGACAAGCGCAAGTTGTATGTAATTTTGTAAATATAAGTAAGACATTAGCCTACAAGAGTCAGGTTCAGACTATGTTTCATTGGAAATTGGGCAGTCCATTAACAGAAAAAATTACTGTCCCAAATGTTTTTCCAGTAAAAAAACAAGAATCGAAAAAGAATCAAAAACAACAGTGAGGAATCGAGGTCGGGCCAAGATGGCGACTGTGTAACATCCATGTGCTGAAGCTATGCACTTATTTTGTAGTTGACACATGTAAAAGGGAACATAATAATACTTTCTATAGTGATCTAAGTAAGTGATCTAAGTGATCTAACTTTTTTCTAACTTTTAACGAGTGCGATGGAAGATGATAGGCATATTCGAGGTGCCATGCATTCTTACGCGAGAAAATCTCTGGATGCCGCCTTCAAGGGGAATGACGCAGTGAATGCCTCTGGATCGAAAATTCCCTTACCTTAAACTCCTAAACCGCCTTCCAAAAAAATAAAAAATGGTCGACAGAGTGGCGTCGGACAATCAGACCGTCTCCAATTTACACCTGATGGAAGTTTTGGAGCGAGTTGAAAAAATGCAGTTGGAATTTCTGAATCGCATGCAGTCCCTCGAGATAACAGTGAAAGACAATAAGAATTCATTAAACAGTGTGACTGAGGCACTTGAGTTGATGAGCAATCAAGTAGAAGAGGTAACAAGCAAGGTGAGCTCATTACAGAACCGGGTGGAATCACTGGGAAAAGAGAACTGTGTGCTATGTGAGAAATGCGACGAACTGGAGGCTTACAAAAGGAGGTGGAATCTACGAGTGGCCGATATTCAGGAGCAGCGAGGAGAAGATGTCCGGAAGATTCTAATCGACTTATTCTGTAAAGTTTCTCCTGGGACAGCAGACCAGCTCATCTACACGCTTGATGTCGCCCACAGACTGGGTCCTCGATCTGAGGGAGCGCGCTCGAGCCGCCGCATCATCGTACAGTTTCTTTCACGCAACGTCCGAGATCAAATCTGGAGGGATGCCAGAACCGCCGCCGTCCTCAAAGAACGGAAAATCAGGATTTTTGAAGACCTGACACAAAGCGCCAAAGACGCCAGGAACAAACTTTGGCCTCTTGTCGAACGAGCGAGAAAGGAGGGGAAGAGAGCAGGATTCAGAGGGCCGTTTGCATATGTGGACGGTAAAAGGATTTCTACCAAAGATCAGTTAGGATGAATGATGCCATCGAAGTTTCAGTGCAGCAGATGACCTTCTTGATACCCACATAAGCACGAACTGCTCCGGGGTTTTTTTGTTTTCTTCAGATAGGATGGACAGACTGTGTAGTATTCAGCTA